CTCCCGTCTTCTTCCCGCCTCTTCCCCTTCCCCACGGGCCCCGCCAGCCGTTCGGCTCTCAAATTGGGGGAGGCGGGCTGGCCGACCCTTCACCTTCTCGAGGCTATACGTTCTCATTTATGGTGTCGTTTCCTTCCTCTTTCTCGATTGGTTGGCTAGGGCGGCGAACAGGTGGCTTTTTCTTTTCGTTTCTTTGGCTATGAGCTTACCTGGAGGATTAGGGATGTGTGTGCTTCTTTGGTCTTTCTTCTTGACAGAAAAAAAGGGAGGGTTTTTGAGAGGGGAGATTTTGGAAGAACTTTGTGTTTTCTGTCTTTCTTCTTCGCTGTTAAGAAAGTTACCTCTTTCTGTTTTCCTGTTCGAGAGATCTTCTTCCCCTCTGTTGTTCGAGGGTGTCGAGGCTTGGATTTGTCAAACCGTGAGCTGAAAATCGTGAGGAGTATTTGTAGGCTACTGTTGGAGTGGTTTTTTTGAATCTACCTTATACTTTCTTTGCTTTAAGTTTGCATAAAGAAAGAGGTATTCTTCTCCTCTCCTCTATTTTGCATTATTTCGGATGGCATGAAGTATGGAAGCTTATTTTGAAGTTTAAGCATGAATATTTGCTTAGGTTGGTGAGAAATGAAGCATATATATATGGGTTACTTTTACTTTTCTTTTGCTTGAAACATATGAAGGCATGGCTTCAATAGTCTAGAAATGCATTTTTATTCCTTTATAAATGTCTATGGAAAAATATGTTTGGGGGCTCATTCTTGCTTCTCTTGCTGCCCCTTGCTAGAATACATGCTGGAAATTATTTTATGAGTTGGAAAAGATGTGTTTGGGGCTCATTTCATGCTTTTCTTGCTGCCCCTTGCTAGAATACATGCTGGAAATTATTTTATGAGTTGGAAAAGATGTGTTTGGGGCTCATTTCATGCTTTTCTTGCTGCCCCTTGCTAGAATACATGCTGGAAATTATTTTATGAGTTGGAAAAGATGTGTTTGGGGCTCATTTTATGTTTCTCTTGCTGCCCCTTGTTCGAATGCATGTTGGAATGAAATTATCAAAACTTTTATTGTTGATATTCATGCTTACAATAAATGGTGGTCTGGGTCTTGGCTTTTTTCTTTGGGATTGAATTGGAAGCATGCTTTCTGTTTTGTCCCATGCATTGGGTTCGGTTTCCCCCTGTGTTGAGCTCGGTTTGCCCCTTTCTTGGGCTCAGATTGGGCTCCTTTCGGTAATATATGAAAGTTGAAGTTTTTTTGCTGTTTTGAAATATAGATGGGCTTGGTTTGTCCTGGTATTGAGCTCGATTTATCCATGTGGGGTTCATTTTGGGCTTCTTTTGAATCAAATTATAAATGGATTTTTTTTTGTCCTATTTTCCCCATATGGTTGGGCTCGGTTTGGCTCCTTTTAATATCATGTCTTGGCTGAAATCTTTGCTATTTTAGCCCTTTGATGGACCCTACTTTGTTCCTATGTTGGAAATCTTTTTTTTTGTAAGTTGGAAATTATATTTGGGGTCGATATCTAGTTTATCTTGCTGCCCCTTGATAGAATACATGCTGTAAATTATGTTTATGAGCTGGAGAATTGTATTTTGAGCTCATTTATTTCTTCTCTTGCTGCCCCTTGATAAAGTACATGCTGGAAACTAGGTTTATGAGCTAAAAAAATGTGTTTGGGGTTCATATCTCGTTTATCTTGCTACCCTTTGTTCGAATGCATGATTGGAATGAAATTATCAAAGTTTCTATTGTTGATATTCATGTCTACAATAAATGCTTGAAAGATGTGCTCTGTTTGCCCCCTTTGGCAGGCTCGATTTACCCATGTATTGGGCTTGATTTAGCTTAAATTATGATTTGTTTTTCAACTCTTATATTTGGTTAGAATTTAATTTTCTTTTCATTTCCCTTGGATGTGGGTCTTTCCTTTTAGTTCTTTTATGATTAAAGATGTTTGGTTTGGGATCGGTTTTTCTTCCTCATTGTCCGTAGCCGCAAATGTTAATGTGGTGAATTTTTACCTTTACCGTGAAGGTCAGTTCATTGATTAGGTGAGCCATACTTGGAGCACTTTCTAGTGATATGTAGTGATATGTTTAGGAAACATTTATATGTTTAGGAAACATTTTTAAAGTTTTATTCCCCACATTACAAAGCTTTATTCGTGAAGGTTTAAATTATATTTTGAGGCTTTTAAAACTATTTTTTGAGTTTGATTCGGTCATTTTGTTAACGAGTTTTAAACTCTTTTAGGCCGACGCACTTACGATTTTACTCTAGGATTTATGATTTGACTTTGTTTTAAAAGTGGACCGGCCTCTTCGCATTTGTTTTGTTTTTTTTAACTGTCAAGTTAAAAATGAGAATTTTCGATTTAATTATCTTCAGAAATGATTCATGGTCTTAAGGGAATTATGTGGGAAAGAGAAAGGAAGAGGAAATTTTTTTAAAAAATGAAATTTGGTTCTGCGAGATGATAAAACCTAAAGAAGAGATAGGATAATAAACCATTTACCATTCCTTTTACATAAGAAAGATGAAATTGTAAATTGGAAGAATAGTTTAGGGTTGGAAGAAAGTGAGAGTTTAGATGACGATTAGGGAGATGGATTGAAAAATCAATAGACCTGCATTTAGGTTCCTTAAGCTTTGAATCAACTTAAAACCAATTGCTTTAATTAGGATTGAAGCACATTTCACACCCCTTTTACCAAAATTATAGGTTTACCCCTAGGTTTTAGGAGCCTGATAGAGAGTTAAGCTTGATCTAAAGATATTCGAGGACTAGTTGCAAGACACTTAATTGAAGTTAGACACTTTAGAACACTCAGGCTCAAACTAAAGTGTAGGCTTCCTAGGTCTTAGGAGAACACCTTGAGAGAGTTCATCCTTCTAATGTTCAAATGAAGCTAAGAAGCCAAACATCTTACCCCAGTTCATGAGATAATTAGGACACTAGACACGAGGATGCACTAGATTGTGATTCATGACTGATTTAATTAAATCAAATAATGAAATTCTTACCTTAACTTGACCAAAACTGAAACCCAATTCTCTGGGATTTGAGCTTGAGCCTTACACTCAGATCCTCCTAGCAATTGGGGACATTCCCAATATCACATATAATCTCTTATTCTTGGTCCTTTATATGTGATATTGTATTTAGTTTTATTTGTTTGTCTTTTTCCTACGATTTACCTGTTTTTCTCAAGTTTTTCAGGTTGTACTTTCTGCTTTTACACAGCGCATAATAGCTAAACTTAAAGGAGCAATGAGCCTCCCAAGTGTATAGGTTTGATTTACATTACAGTATTTTCTTTTATAAGCATGCTATACTGTCCTTCTTCTTTACTGTACAATACATTGTTGCATTTCTTTTACACTGGATGTTTTATTGCTTAGTTTTTGTACTATACCTTAGTATAGGATAACCTAGTGGATAGGTGCATTTTCAAAACTTAAACTAAACCAGGAGGTGCTACTACGAGGAGTTTGGAGCAAACATCGTGGGCAGCACGCAAAGGAACAACTTCTAGATGAATCTGCAATAGCAAAATAATTTCACAACACTATACACTTTCCTTAGTTTAATTAACAACTCTTAGGATTTCAAGGTGGCTTTCCTTAGTTTAATTAACAACACGTTAGGATTTCGAGGTTACCGTGTAGTATAGTGTAAATCCTCCTATCTTTTTAGACTATTTGCGCAGGCCGATATTGTGTAAACATAAGTTCTAAATCGTAAATTATTTACAGGATTGAAATATCAAATAAACATCACTTCAAAGACATAAAACTGAACATTAGGATAGTTGGGACATCTCCGGGGTTTCTCCTGGATCTGTGATGTCTCCTTTTATTCATTCCATTGAATTCCTTAAGAAAATTGTTCCTATTTTGAGCCATTCCCATTTGATTTTCTCATGTCAAATTGTGATAACATAAACTTTGAAATCTTGAAGGCAACACCACCTGGTCTTAATCGAGAGTTTTCTTAAGTGACCCCCAGCCATTTAAGATGTAATTAACTATAGGGGATTGCCTCTATATGGAACCTGAAACCCAGATAAAATAAACCCTATCTAACTTTTTTATGTTAGGTAGAGGAACTTGTTGGTGTTTTTATAAAATATTTTGCAGACCAAAACAGATGTCACAAATTCTTTAGTTTAGGTGATCGAATTCCTATTAAAAGTGATATATTTATTCTTCGGGATAAGTGTATTACTTGTAGTATTGTATTCAATCATCTAAACTATTTAAAATGTGAGACCTGTTTGGTCTCACCTATTTTAAAATTAAAATGTTACTTTTAAAAATAAAAAAGGTTATATTCATATTTAAATTATTTTTAAAATCACAAAATCATCACTTTTTCAAATCACGAAGTTAAAACGACTGACAAATTCAGGCGACTTCATGGGGACTGGTTCCTCTCTCCATCTTTGATCATGTGATTTTGTTTTCAAACATCGGTAGTGTATCTATGTCCCATATAGGCTAGACTACAATTCTCCTATTGACTTATTATGTTCATTTCTTTCTTTAGTCGGTATAGTTAACTCCTCTTGGAGTCCAGAACCGTCTGCTTAACCATCCTTAAGCGGAAAGGTCCATGAACCCCTAGGGTTTAGTAGGGTGGACCCCTAATAGGTGTGATGTGTTGAGGTCGGAGTGGGTCCAATGTGGAATGGATCATTTCCTATTTTGGGCTAGCTCCTATGCCTCATAATCACTTCACTTCTCTTCTGAAATTTGCTTATCCTTTTTACAAGTCATGTGAAAATTCCTTTTCAACTTTCCTCAGCAATGTTGAAGTCTCAAAACCCAATACCAAAACAAAATAAATCACAAAATTGGTGCCAAATTCACATGGATAAATTTTAAATGATACCCATTTCATAAGACAAGTGCGTTAACTTGAGTACTTCCGTTGAAATTGCAAGACGTTGGACGTCACTAAATTTCAGAAAAATTTCAAATGACAGAAATAATGTCTTCTCCAAGGTTGATCTTTTCTTTTGCCACTGGAGAGGAGTTTGTTGTTAACAGGAATGAGCTGCCGGAACTGGCGGTCATTATGTTTGGGCAGCGATTCATTGATATTGAAGCCAAGTTTGAGAATGTCGTTGTTGCCGTAATGAAGCCTGAAATGGACAAGTTCGTCGAGCCTGTAGTGGAATTTAATATTAAGTCTGATATTGAAGTTCCCCCTTTGAAGAGGGTGATGATTGAAAAGAATTTTGCTATTGCTGTAAAGTATGCCACTAGAAGTGCAAAGATCGCTCCCAGAGCTGTTTTTGCATCTGCCACTGGATTCACCTCTACTACATCAACTGTTCCACTAAACAAAGGGAAGGAGATTCTTTACGAAGAAGTGTGTGTCGATGTTTTTGCCCCGCCGTTTTTTGTATTCAAAATTGGGTCCAATTCAAAGTCCGTGCAACTAACTAAAACACAAGAAAGAAGGCACAAAAGGAAAATTCTAAGGGCTGAGAAGGCGAAGCCACAAAGCTAACTACTACTGACACTACCCTCTGACTGACTAGGTGAAATAGGATTACATGAGACCTCACCTCTATGTATGAGGAATAAGTTCCACCAGTTGTCTGCCACCTATGAAGAGGTTGGCATCTATGGGGCTGTTACCACATCACCGCCACCATCTCTCAATGATGGTCCAAGGCCAGTGACAACATTCAAAGGAAAATCTGATATGATAGCAGGGGTAGACAAAGAATATTCTTACAGAAAAGAAGTTGTAGCAAAGATGTTCCAGGACTTGATTAAAAATCCCAAATTCAGATTACGAGAGCCAAAGAGGCCGGAGGAAGTCGACATGAAAGATCATCCCAACTACTGTCCTTACCACATACAGCTCGAACATACTATAGAAAATTGTGTCAGCTTCAAAGAATGGCTTGAAAATAATTTCAAAAATGGAAAAATAATAATTTCAAAAGAATATTTGATAGATCCCGAAAGAGGAATGATTTCAGCTAATCCAGTTGCTTCATTTGACTTCTACACAATTACATCAGTGCTCAGCCAAAAAGGTGATGCCCATCAAAAATCTCCAACTGACCTTAAATTTGTGAAAGGAAAGAAAATCGAGGATACATTGGAAAAGCTTCGAGCCAAAATTGCACGGTTTTCTGAAGAATGAAGAAAAGATATGGGTGATGAACCCTACAACCCGTCAGAATATGAGATAGAGGGATTCACAGAAATCAAAGTTATTGAGGCCAGAGCCACCTTATCCTCGTGCGATGCTCTTTTACCCACTGAGGAGAACACCGTGGATGAGTTTAAAAGTGTCATCCAACAATATGATGAATAGATCAACAAGATGAAGAAACAACTAGAAGAAACGACGACCGCTATAGCCACTATTCAAGGACAATCACAATCATCGCCGATAGTACCCCTAGGGGCAAGCCATCCAGAAAACATCCAGACCAACGATAATAAAAAGGAATTCACGTCAGTCAATGAAGATAATCAACCAAATAAAGACTCAATTCATGAATCAATATCAGAAAAAGACATTAACCAAATGGTGGAATAACAGGTGAGAAAAGCTCCGACTCAATCAAAAGGAGAGACATTGATTCTAAAGGGTAGGACCTATCCAAAAGAATTTGATAATGTTCAATACCTTGAGGGTTTCATACCACCGTTATTCAAGACATTTGATGGAACGGGAAACCCTTGACAACATGTTGCACACTTCTGAGCAAGTTGTGACAACGTCGGGGGTAGTGATGCGTTGTTGTGCCGTCAATTTGTAACCAGTCTTTTGGGAATCGCTTTTGACTGGTATGCCAAACTGCTCAATGGCTCAGTAAAAACATTTGCAGAGTTGGAGAACTACTTTGTTAAGCGGTTTGCTGGAGCTCAGCACCATATCACCGTTGGTGATCTTTTGGTTGAGCGATTGAGGCTAGCCGAAACATTGATGGACTACACTCTACGATGGAGAATTTGAGCATGAAGTGTGAGCCAGAACTCCAAGAACAACACGCAGTCAAAATCCTTCTAAAGAACATCCATGGTCCAGTAAGCTTCTTACTCAAGGGATTCACCATTAAGACATTCGAAAAGCTGCTTAGAAATGTTGAGAATCTTCAAGAAGAAGCGAAACATCTTGGGTTTTTTGAGAAAGCTGAGAAGCTAGAGCCAATAAAGACATCTGAGAATAAATCTGGGACAGCAGCAGTGGTTGGTGGGGGCAAGCGATTGTTGCAGATTCAAGTTGAACAGTCTCGACAGATTTACCAATGTCCTCGGCGTAATGATCAGCAATCGTTTCATCAGATGTCTTATCAAACAGATGAAGGGAAACCTCCAAACATAAAGAATCATTTGAACAAAATATATCCTTTCAAGGATGAGGCAGTCAAATAGATGTTTCAAAATTTGATAAAGGAACCTGAATTCAAGCTCTTTGAACTGAAGGAACCAGATGAAGTTGATGAAGAAGATCATCCGAGGTCCTGCCCATATCACAGGCTGATCGGACAAAACATAAAGGTTGTTTCACTTTTAAAGACTGGCTTGAGGAGAAATTAAAGAATGGGGGCATAATGATCCCGAATGAGTATTTAAAAGGAACCTGAAAGTGGTTTTATCAATATGATTTTGGTCGATCCTAATGTCCCGCTTAACTCCGATGCAGCTAATAAATGATGAAACATCTTTTAATTACTATTGTACTATTTTTGTTATCAAAAGGGATGTTAGTGATTTCAATGTTTGTATGTCCCTTCCCTCCCACCGCAATAAATAAAGAAAGATCTTGCTATTTTTCACAACTGTTCAATTGTTGGAAGACATGGTTAACAAAACATTTAGAGTTCATCAACAGGACAATCGATGAAGGCGTAATCAAAGATAAAAATTCCAGCAATATGAAAGAAACTATGACTTCAGGGGAGAAGTAAATTAATCCCCTAATAGCTGAGTCATGCACTTTAAAGAACTTGGACTAGGTCCTAAGTTGATTTCAAAATAAGTTAGTGTGGTTGAAATACGAATAATTGACTCGGGATATCATGAGCCTTTTAATTTCCCGCCATGTGACTGGGTCCTGACTTTCGAACGAGTTATAATATCCTAAAATCTACCTTAAGAAATATTTGAGGATTATTAGTCGGGAGAATTTGGACAACATAGCGTCCACCAGATATAGTAATTCTCAGAAAACAAACGGAGCAAAAAAGAAAGAAAAATATGAGTCCCCTGAGAAGAAGCTTGAGGTGAGCATAAAATCAAAAATTGGTGTCTCAATTT